TTGGTTTTTCGAGACAGGGTTTCTCCGTGTAGCTTTGCGCCTTTCCTGGAACTCACTTGGTAGCCCAGGCTGGCCTCGAACTCACAAAGATCCGCCTGCCTCTGCCTCCCGAGTGCTGGGATTAAAGGCGTGCGCCACCACCGCCCGGCTTCGCACAGAACACTTTTAATCAAGATCCTATGGGGACATTTATTTCCTGAGCGCCGCACAGGTAGGCCTGTGAGGAGGTCGCTTGTTCCCGTAGCAGCAAGCAATGAAGACATTCAGAGATGGGCTGAGCCAATCTCTGCCCTTCTGCCTTCGCACAGACTCTGGGGCACACAGATTCATTCACTCTTGGTACAAAGAACCGAGAAATGGACTATCTTCTTGGTGAGATGACATTTGTCACACCCGTTTGCTAAACGTGCCATTGAGTTTAGCTTTCTCCCCCGAGGGACAAACCAGCTGGTGATCGGAGAACGCTGTGATTTTACAGGAGGTCACAAGAGAGTGTGTCTGCCTGAAAGATGCTTGCAGGATTTGGTGGAGAAGATACACCGCCGCCGCCTCCCAGCTGTGCTGTGCTGTGAGGAGTTCCCAGGGTGCCTCGTGTGGCTGTCCATGGTGCTGACTGCCCTCTGCTACAACTCAGACCCCATGACTGCCACTCAGCTTTCCCTGGGCTCTGTTCTTTCTTCCTTCTCCCCCTCACTCCTCCTTCCCCAGCCCACTCTGGTTCCCACTCTCACCTCTGCCCCCTCTCCTACCTTAATGAGGCATTATGAAGTTCACAATAACACTGAAGAATCCGGTGGATACCTCCTAGCTGGGTTAATGAATTCTGCCCATGATTGTTAGTTCTGGAACCTCCAGAACTCTTTGAGAGTTGGGAGGAGAATGCCATGTGGTTTGTGCCTTCCACTCACTGGTCTGTCCTGCTGCTCCTACCTCCAGCTTGTCCAGGAAACTCGTGTCTCTTTGGACGGACCTTGTCATCTCCTTCTCTGCCAGACTCTAACAGATGGTACTGGTGACTCTTACAATCACAGGAGACAGTACTGATCGTAACAGGTGGACTCAGCTTGAGCTTCTCAATTCAAAATTCGCAAAGGCAGGGAAGGCAGACACAGGGAGTCATGTGGGTTTTCCCACTCATTTTTATTTCTTTGCTACACTGACTCTGGCCAACCTACAGATCCATTCTGAGCCTCTAAACATTTTCTGTAAATTAGGGACAACCCCAGCCATCACTGGAGCCACAAAGCAAGTGAGAGTCTAGACAGCATCAGCATGGTGCACACCGCTCTTCCCGGAGTCCCCAAGTTCGCTCTGAGAACTACCCAGATCAAGCTACTGGGATTTCCAACACCCACAGGATCTTCTGGTGATGTATAAAAATAGCTGCCTTGAGCCCCCTTGGACAGGGAGGCTCTTTGTGTAATTCAGTGTCTTTCTGACTGTAGGTAGCTCATTGGCTAAGAACAGCTTCCAGCTAGCAGCATCCCCTTGCCAGCATCTTGAATGCAGTGGAACTTGGCCTAATTACCCAGGGGGTGGTGGCCTCTTTCTGACCAAGGAGGATTCCTCCATGTCTGCCTCTGAGCTGGCGCCGGGTGACATTTACCTCATTTTTTTTTTATGAAGCATCAGAACAATGAAGGGACAGGACTTCAGAGACTCTGGCACCTGCCCCCAGCAAAGAATGTCAATGCGCCATTGTTCCACTCAACTCTTTCTAGTAGAAAGTTCAAGCTTCCGGGGTCACGCGTGCCCCGGAGAGACTGCCAATAAGAGCCGGCATTGTCAAAATGTGGGGCACGAGCTTCTGCAACCGCCTCAGGATCCTGCTGCGGAGCTTGAGAAGAATTCTGGGAAATAAGCGTGGCTGGCATGGGGTCTCCAGAGCCCCCACCTTAACATGGGGCACAGCTCATGTGGAGAATCGGAGATGGGAAAGCGTCATTGATGTACATGAAGACAGGGTCAAAAGCCAGCCCTGCTCCCCGCTGACTGTGGGACCCGGAGACGGGGTCCTTCTAAGTCTTGGGCTCTCTGCCTGTAGGACAGGGTAATAGTTCAGATGACCTCACGGGCCATTGTGAAGGCAAATGAGATACTGTGCAGAATGTGCCCGACACCACGGTGCACATGGAACGCCACCGTTACAGTCGCCATAACTGCTCCTTGGTAAGGGCTGTGGTGGAACGTGACCAGGAAGTGTCACTCGATCTGTGGTCACAGTGAAAGGCTGTGACCCTGACCTCTCTAAGAGATTCTTCCTTAAGAGTTCTTCCACCGCTTCTCCAGATACAAGGTGACTGGAGGCTGGTGCCACAGCGCCTCTGCTGGAGAATGGAGCAGCAAGATGAGAAGCCGCCAGTGAAGAGTCTTTCGCGGAACTAGCCGCTCTGCTTGTGACGACTTCCCCTAGGCCTTCTGGAACTCTCTGGAACGCAGCACTATTTAGGCTTCAGAGGTGATCTGCCCAAGGAAGAGAAGGCTGGACTCTTTATTCCCTGACTCTTACCCATGTCTGGCTGAGGATGGCTCCTGGGGAGGTCATCGTGTCTGGCCACCCTCATCCCGTCCTGGGATGGGCATGCCTGTTAAAGGACCCAGACAGTAGTTGCTCCTTAGTCCCAAGCCTCTGTGTGCACAAGCGAAGGGGAGGTCAGCTCCATTCACAGATGAGGAAAACTGAGGCTCCGTGAAAAGTGAAGATGACCACCTAAATCCCCTCACCCAGATAAGTCAAGCATCTGTAGCCGGTCCATTTGGGTGATCCCCTTTGCACTGGACTCCAGAGATTTTTTTCCAACATGAAAATAGCATCCTAGTCCTGTGGAAATCCAAATATGTTTATGCCACAGAGAGGCTGAAGGGAGCCTCTGGCCACCTCAGTTTTATTTTCAAATCTAAGAGACACTAGAGCAGACAGCCTTGTGACAGGTACCAAAAAAATGGGAGCAGGAAGGCAGTGGGAAGACCCAGGGTCCCAACCTCCACTGGCCTGCTCAGTGTCCAGTTGGCCAAACCGTAGTGCACAGCCACTTAAAGAGAAGTGGCCTCCACTGGGCTCTCCAGACTCCTGAGAATCAGCTGGACCCTTTCCTTACTGACTTTACTGGACTTCAGGAGCCCTGTGGCTCTGCAGTCTTCCCCAGGGGTTCAGAACAGGAACATCCTACATCCAGGAGACTGGCTGCTGTTGGAGCTGACTCTCAGCCTGCTGCCCTCTGCACCTGTTCCCCCAAGACACTGTCTCCATCCCTTTGAGACTCTACAGCCCTCGCCTTATCTGAAATCGGGGCTTCCTGTTCAACCCTCCTCCCTCAATCGGGGCTCTGCTCAGTGAGCAGCTGCTTACAGGACAAAGTAGACTCCTTCCGGCAGCACTGGACTACAAAGTCCTCAGTCTCTCCCTGTCCTTTGCAGTCTGGACTCCTGATGTCCAGCCTGGGAGTCCATACCTCTCTCCCCCTGTTCTCTGTCTCAGGGCAGCAGGCAGGGAGGCAGACCTGTCACAAGATGAGCTCACCAGTCTCCTTCACATCATTCCTTATCTAGACCTGAGAACATTGAGGCTGTGGGAAGCCAGAGATACTTTTAGCTTTCTGGGAAGAGATGTCCCCTATGTGGCCTGGACTCTGGTCAAGGCCTGCCTCTCCTGCTCCCTCTCTGTACAGTGCATTGCCCCTTAGAGTCTGCTCAAAGGACCATTGGGAGATGCTGCCCCTCCCCTGGTATATTCTGTGGGTCAGCCCAGCATGGCAGGTTAACTGAGGTGCAGCCTTGCCCTGAGCTAGGTGGAAGGAGCCCTGGCATTGCTAACTGGTAGTCAATCCAGAGAGAGCTCGTGGGGTTTCTGTCTCTGCATGACACCTTCATATACAACTGCAGTCACCACAGAAGCACACGGTCACATGCACCAACCACGGTCAGATGCTGGGCCAGGAAGCCAGCAGAGCCGATAAACACACACCTGCCCCCTACCCCCCAGAGCCCTGGACTGCCTCTGAAGAAACCCACAGGGTCACACCTGCATCTCAGAGTTTGGAGTCTCTGTGCCCAAATAGGTAGATCCAGCATGGACAGTCACACACACACACACACACACACACACACACACACACACACACACACACACGCGCGCGCGCGCATCCATATCCTTCCCACTGTCCAAATACACATTCGCTGGGCCCTCAACACCTTCACCCTCATCCCCTTGGATATAGACAGACACATCCCTTCCCATGTACCCCAGCACCCTTCACCCCTTCTGACTGGACCCTGCCCTTTCTGGGGGACTTGGACACCATCAGGGTGATGGGATGGGGCTCAGAGAAGGCCTGAGCTAGCGGGTAAGTTTATACGGCTACTATGAAGAGAAACAGGCTCCAAGATACCCAAGCCTGGGTCAGCACAGCCTCAGTGAGAACTGTCAGAGCAGGAAGGAGACAATTGCCAAGCCAGCGCCTCCCTGGCCCGTGAGCTGAGCTGGCATCCCGCTAACGGTGGTCTCTGGCCAACAGAGATTCATACAGGCTGCTTCGTAGGCTTTCTGCCTCGTTGTCTAAACCTTTGGCTCAGAGACCATGTCCCCTTCCCCCGCTTCCCTCCCCTTCCCCTGCATGGCAAATATGGTAAGCTTCATTCACCAATCCCCAGGTGGCCTGATGGGGCTTCCTTCTGTGTACCCCACCCACGCAGCTGAATGGGAGACCCCAGCATTTCTTGTAGGGCATTGGTGGCTTTGGGTGTGACGGTTCCTTTTTGGGGTGATAGAAGAGCTGTGGTTCCGTACTCCAGCCCTCCCAATGCCGGTGAAGCCCCAAGATACCATGGGAATCAAAGGTGACCCCATACTTTCCCAAACACTCACTTGATACAGTACCCTAGTCTCTTCTCCCCATGTCCATGTGGGGAAACTGAGGCCTGGAGAGAAGACACAGACACTAAGCAGCATTCTATCCAGTGCTGCCACCTCCAGCCCCTCCACCCCCAGCACCAAATGGGACTAAAGACAGAAATCTGAGACAGCACAGGACAGTATATATGCAGGCATGATGTAAGAGTCGCCCTGTAAGTCTGTGCTGTGGGCCAGTGCCCCTGTGAGCTCAGGCTGCAGGTGTCCGACGGCAGAAATGACCACGGGGATGTCTTTGAGACCTAAAGCTTATGCATGCTATTCATGAACACCACATCTGGCTATTCAAGTCCACAAGGCTTCATGTCAACAGTCCCGGTCCAGGTCTCAAGCCCCAGGAAGTTCCTAGAGAGCTGCTGGTCTTCAGTCTGCATTGGGATCCTGGAGAATTGGGTTCCAATAACAGAGAGGGAAGGCCTCCGCAGCAAGATAGATGAACTTGCCAGTGAGGGTGAGGGCAAGCTGGCAAAAGGGAAAAGCTTTCTTCTTCCACGCCCTTATGTGGTGGCTGCCGGAGATTTAGGGTGGGTCTTCCCACCTCAAGTGATTCAATCAAGAAAATCCCTCGCAAGCCTGCCCAGCTACCTGGGCTTTAGTTGGTTCCAGATGCAGTCAGATTGATGACCAAGATGAGCCATCTTTAGGTCTGACAGCTCTGTCTGCCTCTTCAGATGGAAGTGCGGTGTTCAGGGGCTGCTTCCGCCGACCCAACAACCTCTCCCTGGCCTTGCCTGTGACGGCAGCCATGCCAAACATGTCCGTGGACAAGTGTGTGGACCTCTGCACAGAGAAGGTAAGCTGGGGCTGTTTGCAAGCCTTCGGGGTGCAAGGACAGGGTGGCATGAAGCCTAAGGAGCAGGGTGTGGGGCTGGAGAAGTAGCAGTCACTCGGAACAGATGGGGTCACAGACCGTGACCGGTGACGAGGCAGAGGAATGCATTAGTTCATGGATTCAAGGCAGTGGAGCCACACACAGTGGCAGGAGCTGCCTGCCTGTGTCTAATGGTGAGGGAGTGTGAGATTGAGGATGCCTGAGGAGGCGTAATAAACTCCTAGTTAGCTAATGTCATCAGCGGTGGCCCAGCGGGACCCAGGTGCATGCCACCTTTCTCTCTGCCACTAAGCAGTTCCTATAAAGTATCTTAGAAAGAGGCACAGCTCACTGGATATGATGTGCGGGTTTTCTCTCCTGAGTCTTTGCGGACCTGTGACCAGGAGGGGAATCTGGGCTGTGTCTGGTTTAGGAACAGACTGGACAGAGATAGCTTGGCTACCCGGGGGTCAAAGGCTATAACCCAAGGCTTCTTTGGGTGGACACACCTATATCCTTTTGGTTTAAAAGCACACAGATTCGGGCCAACGAGATTGCTCAGTGGCTAAAGGCTTGCAACCAAGTCTGAAGACCTGAGTTTGATTCCCAAGCCCCACGTAGTGGAAGGAGAGAATTGGTTTCTGCGTGTTGGCCTCTGACCTCCGTGTGTGCACACGGACACACAATCGGTTGATAATTTACAGCACAAATTGAGACGGCGTTTCCCAAGATATGGATTGTGTGACACTGTCACACAAAAGACAGGGGCGCCAGTGACAGAGGCATGGCCCCCTGGATCCTCTCCCCAGCTCCAGGAGAAAGTGTCAGTACAGTGCTGACACTCCCTACCACAACCCTTGGTGAATCCCTTTTGCCGGAAAAGATGGCAGTGACCCCAAGTTCACTCTCAGCAGGACCCAGGCAGAATTTACCAAACTAGCCATCCATCTGGGGTTGAGCTCCAGCACACCCTGTGCATACCTGGGTCCTAGGACACCCGAGGGTCTTATCGAGCTGGCAAGGCTCTGCAGAAGCCTTGCACACCCTCAGCTCTACATGACTTCTAACTCCTAATGGGTTCCTAATGCTGTGTAAGGAGTTGCTATGGCAATCGCTGAGGGGAAGGAAAGGGTCCAGGTGTTCAGTGCCCAGATAGAACTTTTCTGGAATGTTTTTTTACATCACTGTGGAGCCAGCAGATGGGGAGGGGGGGGGCTGGTACATTCCATGGGTCTCCCTTGGCTGCGTGGGAGTGTGTAGGAACCCACCACTTCTCCACTGGCCTTACTGGTTACAGATACCAAGTTTATCCTGAAGTCTTGTTTCAAACAAGGAATCAGATAAACAATCAGCACAAGCATTGGGATGGAGGAAATCCGCCAGGGTGGAAATCCATAGCTGCTGAGGTCTGGGGAGGAGGATGGTTGGGCTCTACAAGGGCCAGGTGACTCTTCCTCTCCTCTCGCGCCCAGGAGTACCCCCTGGCAGCTCTTGCTGGCACCGCCTGCCACTGTGGCTTTCCCACCACACGGTTCCCTCTTCATGACCGGGAGGATGAGCAACTCTGTGCGCAGAAGTGCAGTGCCGAGGAGTTTGAGAGCTGTGGGACCCCCAGCTACTTCATTGTGTACCAGACACAGGTTCAAGGTAAGCCAGCAGGTCTCGACAGACCCTCCTTCGCAGATGCGTCCCGGCCAGTCAGTCTCTTAAAGCCCGCAGTGAGGGGAGAGGAGGATTGATGTGACGGCAGAGGGCTGGGCTGGTGAAGTTGCCTAGGCTGAGGGCTTCTAGGTGCAAGAGAGAGGAAGCATGAGGGGAGGGTCTAATGACCTCCTGTCTGTCCCTCATCAGTGAGGGTCCTTGGTGGCTCTTTGCTGATACAAGAGGCAGTGAGATTGAGTGGAAAGAGAGCCCTGGATCTCCTCTCCCCTACCTCAGACCCAGAGTGTGACCCTGGACAGCTCATACCACCCATCTGGGCCTCAGTTTCTCCATCTGGAAAATGAAGCTGTGATGGATGCTTGGCCTCCAAGGTCGCATTCTGTCAGTGTGTCTGTAACTTCTTCCTTCTCTCTCCTTCTTCCCCTCCCCGACTTGGTCATCCTTTCCATCTCTCCCCTTCTTTGCCAGTAGAACCCACACTGACTGACCGTCTCTCTACTGTCTATGGGGGATGCCAAGTGCCGTGGCAATGACAGTGGCTGGGAGGGTAGGGATGAAAGTGATGGTGGTCATGACAGTTACGATTCGGTGTTGACGAAGACAGTGATGCTGATTGTGATAGTGGTCCTGATGCGGCACTGACGACGACAGTGAAGAGGAAAGTGATGGTGATGGCAGTCATAGGCTGTGTTGATGACATGATGGTGGTGGTCATGATGCAGTGGTGTTGGTCATGACGGTCATGATGCCGTGTGTTGATGGCGATGGTGTGGATCATGATGGCGATGATGACTGCACTTGTGTGTGTTAGTGTTTGTCAACTTGACACAAACCTAGATATATCTGGGAAGGGGGAATCTCAACTGAGGAATTATCCCCATCACATTGCACATAGGAGAGTCTGTGGAGCATTCTCTTTATTAAGGCCTGAGGTGAGCGGCTCTAGCCCACTGCGGGTGGTACCACCCCTGGGCAGATGATCATGGGTTGTATAGGAAAACAAACTGAGCAAGCCATGGAAAGCAAAACAGGAAACAGCTTCCTCCATGGTCCCTGCCTCTTCTCCTGCTTGACTGCCTGCCTTAACTTCTCTCAGTGATTGGCTGTAACTGGGGCATGCAAGCCGAATAAACCCTTTCCGTGGGTCAGTGTTTTATCACAGCAATAGACGAAGCAAACTAGGGTAATGATGATAATAATGTTTGTGCTGCTGCTGCTGCTGCTGCTGGCCGTGATGATGATCATGGTGATGCTGATGGTAGCGACAGTGCTGATAAACAATGATGAAATGATGGTGGTGATATTTGTAATGAAGGTGATGGATGGTGGTGATGGTGATGATGATGATAATGATGTGGTATTGATTATGGTGATGATGATAAGAATGGTGATGAGAGGGTGTAATGAGTTCCTTGAGTCTTACTCCACACCAGGCTCAGTGCTAAGACCTTATTATATACTTCCTTCCCCTCAGCTGTCTTAGGAAGTGGGAACAGTGATTATTCCTACTTTCCTGGGAAAGTGAGATTCAGACTAGCTAAGGGACTTACTTGCCTGCAGACAGACTATAAACCTTTATTCCTGGCTGGGGCATCTCAAGGAGAAGCTGGTGTGGGGCTGGGTACTCACGCTGGAACAGAGCCTAAGGAAACCAGCATGGATACAGTGGTTGGATTTATACCAGCATGGATACATGGATACAGTGGCCATCCACTGTGTACCAGCCTCAGGCTAAGCCTCAGCTCATTCTGTGATATAAAGGCCGAAATCAGGCAGTGATCAGGGCTGTGCCCATTTTATAGACGGTAGAGGATTAAGGAATTGGCCACAATCCTATATACAAGAGCAATGTGCCTTCAGAGATGATTCCAAAGACTGTGCCAGAATCTTCAGCTCACAGTGGCAAGAGCACTCCCAACCCTTCTGGAGTCTGAAGAGCAAACAGCACATCTCTGAGCAGACTGCCTCCTAGCAACAATGCATAGATGGACAGGCTGGACACTGCATGGGTGTGTCAACAGCAAAAGTACATGCAAGTCAGCCTGCGCTCTCGCACGCCAGCACTCTAGAGAAAAGCAGCAGATGCCTGTTCGTGATTTGCATGAAAATCCTGTACAAGTGACTGGTGGTCCCTGGCAGGAAATCCCACTTGATCTCATGTTGAGTACAAGAGCCTGGTGAGCAAGCCCTGCTCATTCACAGTCCAGTGAGGAGGGATGAGTGTGTGCTGGTTTCCAGGATGCACCAGCATTTGGGCAGCGCTACGTGACCCTGGCACATAGTAAAGTGTTAAATAAAGGCTGGCAAGTTGGGTCTGCTGGTTCCGGGGCCTGGAAAACACAGCCTGTAGCTCCTGCCTGGTTTGTGGGGCTTCAGAATCAATGGACACAGTAGATTTTAACACTGAAAACAACAGCCGTCATCGCAGAGCTGACCCACCTCCCATCTGCCCCCTGCACTATTTTACCGAGTCACACTTCCCTCCACCCCTTGTCCCCAGGACCCTCTTACATCCTGCCCTTCTGAAGGAAGTGTGGTCCCCAATAGGAATCATTAATTCCAATGTGACATTTGATTGAGGTTGTTTTGTTTTTGTTTTTAAGTCCCATTGCCATAGAGGGAAAGGCACCTTTCAAGTGGGGTGGCCCATGGTCACTTGATGACCTTTGACCCTCTAAGACCAAAAGAAACCGGAGGACCTTCTGGTTTGGTAGATGCTGCAGTGGGTAGGGCTGGGTCCCCCACAGGCGGGGTTCTCAGTCCCATCAAGTTGAAGGTCAAGCTGAACTATTGCCAACCACTCACCGTGAGGGACTTGCTACGCCAGGGGCGGCTGGGACTGAAGAGGAGGCTTGTCCTCCCGTGGGACTTCTGTCGGTCCTTCCTGTGAGCTCAGCACATCCGAGTGCCCCTCCTCTTCCATGTATGACCTTGTCTCCAGGGCACACTGTGCAGACCCCTGACCCCTGTCTGTCTGTCCGTCCCCCTGCAGACAATCGCTGCATGGACAGAAGGTTCCTCCCAGCCAAGTCTAAGAAACTCATCGCGCTCGCCAGCTTCCCAGGCGCCGGCAACACGTGGGCTCGCCATCTCATCGAACTGGCCACCGGCTTCTACACCGGCAGCTACTACTTTGATGGCTCTCTATATAACAAAGGTGAGGGGCGGAGGGTGAGGGGAGCATCCCGCATGGCTCAGCATGCCTGGGCTCATCCCTGAAGGCCTCTGCTGTGTGCTCCTGCAGTACCTCCGTTCATATCTGACACACACATCCTGTGTGTCCTGTCTCAGTACCTCCCCGGAGCCTGCCGGCTGACTGACATCTAGTAAGCACCATTTAGTAGGTTGCCATAAGCATTTTTAAGCACCTGCTGTGTGCTAGGCCCCTCACCACAGATACTGGCTGACCAACAGCTCTCTGCTCTCAATAGAAGTATGCTAACTGTGTTTACATCGGGGCACTTATTGAGTACCAACTGCTTACCGGGCATCTTGCCGACAGTGCTGTGTGCCACGCTTTATTCTGAGGCTGTGCGCTGTGTTTTAGTGAACACCATTGTATGAGAGATGTGCTTCCCTTGTGTGGTTTTCAAGACACATTTATGGAGCACCAACTGTGTGTAGGGAATCTCAGGGAAGTTCACCACCCCCAGATACCTTGTTGGGCCAGCTACATCCTGTCCCCAGACATGAAAACTGAGGCTGAAGAGGGGGAAATAACCAGCCCCCAAAGTCACAGGATTTTTTTTTTTTCAAATGGCTGATTAGAAAATGTCCCCAACTGTTTCCTGATTTCGCAAGTATGTCCTTGTCACTTACTGGGCAACTAAACATCATGGGTGGCACCGGACATGAAGCACTCTCCTTGGTGTGGGTTTTACGTCTATGTGTGGATGGCCCTTGGTTGTGTCTATGTTTTAGTGGAGGAACACTTCCTGGCTGTGTGGTCTTGGGCACATGACTGCACCTCTCTGGTCCTGTGATCGTTCACCTACTACAGCTAACAGTTGGTACCTCGTGAGGGTGGTGTGAAAGCGAAGGAGCCGGTCCGTGTAACAAGTTCAGCACACGGGAAGTAGAGCCTGGTGTGACGGCTCGGGTGCCAGGCATGGCTGAGGCAAAGCTAGACAGCAGCAGCTCCCAGGATGGGGACAGGTGGGAGGTGGAGAGTGAAGGAGGTGGGGTGGAAGGTCGGAGCCAGCAGGGATGCGGAAGGGCTTTCTAGTTTGCGTTCAGTTGGCTATGACAAACACTGACAAAAAACAGCTCAGAGAGGTTATTTATTTATTTATTTATTTATCTTAGCGGCCCCCAGCTCACAATCCGCCAGTGAGCGAAGTCAGATGAGAACTCCAGCAGAGGCCACGGAGGGGTGCTGCTCACTGGCCTGCTCCCCATGGCTTGCTTGCTCAGCCTGCGTTCTTATAGAACCTGGAACCACCAGCTGTGGGATGGCACCACCCACCCACCCTGGGCTGGGCCCCTTCCCATCAATTATTAATCCAGATAATGCCCCAGAGTCCAATCTGATAGAGGGAATTCCTGGCTGAGGTTCCCTCTCTGTGAGTGACTCGATTTTGTGTCATGTTGGCAAGCACGCAGGGCCTGTGCCTTCAGATCCCCATTCTCTGTATTTGGTTTGGGTTTCTGCACTCTTTTACTTAGCAACTACTAGGTATGAAATGGCACCTACTATGTGTGAGGCACCTGCCAGGGTTTGAACCCAGACCCTCAGCAGACCCTGAGCTCTGCTGTCTTTATGAGCTGGTGCCTGGGGACACTGGGGACACTTGGGGGATACAAGGGACACACAACCTGTAATATTGGAGGTGTGGAGAGAGAGACAGAAAAGAGAAAACATTTATTTTTTCCTGCAGCTCTGAGTCCATGTCTTGGAACAATATTCTGGTGGCCCCTCAGAACCTAAGTGTCACATGCCTGACGGTCACATGCTCCCCAAATAAGTAGACCACTGTGGTGACTCTGAAAAGTAATATTTAAACATGCCACATTTGTGTCATGGTGGTGTTGGGTCCTGTAGAAAAGAGGGGTGCGGAAGGGGGGCCTCTGGTGGTGGAATTCAGCAATTCCCCGTTACTTATTGACAAGTGAGCAACATTCCTCAGAAAAGCCCAGGCCACTGTCTTCCCAAGCTCCTTCCTAGTCATAGGACACTTCTGGAACATGTTCTGCTAAATGAAATCACCCCACCCCCATCTACAGGCCAGTTCCCCGGGGGATGAATATTTAGACTCTGCAGTAGGTATTTCTAGACGATCGTGGCTTATCTTGTTGGTGCTTATTTATAATTTCCACAAATATCAAGCTAAGTTAATGCCATCATGGCATCAAAGAGACAGAATCTCAGGTCTCCCCAGACAGGGAAGTGACTTCTCCTACTGTCTCCGTTGATGACATCATGATGCCTTGTTTGGGGGCATTTGGGAAGTTTTCATTACCGCTTTGATGGTTTGGGTTTCTGGAGATGGCTTCACGGCATCTCATGGCAATACCAATCCATCTGCCTCAGCTCGCTAGCGTGGGCATTGCCACCACACTCACCCAGACCCATCTTCTCCTCTGAGAGTGTGTGGGTTCTTGTATGCCACCTCTGTCTGCCCATGGCTGGGGCTGTGATGAAATGGATTTCAGTGAAGACAAAAAGAAGCCGGAGGTGGGAAGTCCTTGTCTGGATGGTACAGAGTCCCACCAATGGGATGTGTGGCATGGGACTGTAGCCAGGGCTGTGTGGGGTGAACTTGCCCATACTCTCTCCCAAGCCCCACACCATCATCCTCAGTGCCCTCGGGATTCTGTGCCTCAGAGGACCTCAAAAGCTGTTGATAAAGATCTAGTCGCAGGTATGATCCAGCTCAAATTTGCAAGACTCCTCTAATGCCTTTGGCCCAAGCAGCCCCAGGGTGACACGTAATTCAGGAAAGGCCATTCCAGGTCTGCCTCTTCTGCCCAGAGGCCCCATGAGGGCAGCCACAGCTCTCTGCTGTGGCTTATGTTAGTTTCTGTGACAGAAAACCTAAAAAAAAAAAAAAAAAAAAAAAAAAAAAACAGTGTCAGGGAAGATCTGTTTTGGCTCATCCAGTCCATCACTACAGGGAAGGGGGTCAGGGAGCAGCTCAATCCCCAGGAGAGCAATCCTCCACCACAGCTACATCACTGGTGGATTAGAAGGGCCGTCCCCAGCAGCCAGCATAGCGCCTTTCATCAGAGTCCTGCTCTGTGTCTCGCCAGTTTCTCACAGAGGCTGGGGGAAGAAGGTGCAGATGAGAAACTGAGGCCCAGAGATGTGACACAGTGTCAGTCGGGGTCACTCGCTGTCTTAGAAACAGCGGTGAAGGCCGCACTTGTCCTTCAAGATCTTCCTAATGCCTCGCTCCTCAGAGTGTGGGAGCCCTGAGGGGGAAGGGCACAGGCTCAGGAGCCTGGGTGTCACGAGTTTGGTGCCTCTGAGTGCATCGTGACTCCCTCAGCCTCCCCAGCTCCCTGGGTTCCCGGCCACCCATCCTAGGACGTCTCCTCTCACTTCCCCCAGGACTTTGGTACCTGAGGTCTCCGTCCTTTCTTGTCTTGGGATAACCAGTTCCTCCTTGACCTTCAGTTCTCAAATTAAACATCCCTACCCAGAAGGCCTTCCTGTACGCCACAAGCTCATGAGCTGGGCTGGGGCCCGGTCTGTATCTCAGAGGGTGGAGGTGTAGCCTGGGTCCAAACCAGAACCGTCCAGCCAGGTCCCTTCTGGGCCTGGTCCTCCTGTTCTGCTGCATCGACAGCAGCCGTGACTTTCCGTTCCTGTGACGTCGGTTAACCGATGCCACCCTCCGCTGAGCCGTGATGCTCTGCTCGGCTTCCCTCAGGATGTTCGGTTACGTGGGTGCTCAGAACACACACGGAAAGGAATGAGTGAGTCAAGAGAGTGAGGAGTCCTGAGGAGGTGCGGGATGGGGTGCCATGTCCTTCCCGCCTCCCCAGCTTCTAACTTCTCGCCCCCCGGGGGTTGGGGACAGGGTTCAAAGGTGAGCGAGACCACTGGCGAAGCGGTCGGACCATCTGCATCAAGACCCACGAGAGTGGCCAGAAGGAGATCGAGGCCTTCGACGCAGCCATCCTGCTCATCCGCAACCCCTACAAGGCCCTCATGGCTGAGTTCAACCGCAAGTATGGAGGCCACATCGGCTTCGCTGCCCATGCCCACTGGAAAGGCAAAGGTA